CTGATACCCGCTTCTGCCTCTTCAAAAAGAGGAAAGCGTTCTACTTCATTATCTGAATGAAATTGAATTTCATACCAATTTTCATGACCATGGAATTAGTGGGGAAAATGAAACGTCACATTGCCTTAAATCAAGAGATATTGTCTTTGTTCCTTCGTGACAAGGGCGGGGCGAAGGTTTACGGCCAAAAATAACAATGTTAATTTAATAAAACCGCAAAACTACCTTTATTGGAACTGCAAGCAATATAATGATCCTCTTCAGTTATATATTTTTAACTCTGTTAATATTTTTTTGTATTTATTTCGGGAACCAAATCAACACCCCCAACTAAAATGACCTCGCTCTGTCACTACTCAGGTCCCCCTAGCTCAGTGGTAGAACAGTCCAACCGGCAATCTGGACAGGTCATGGGTTCGATTCCTCATTGGGATTGAGAAAACTTTCTTTTCCGAGTAGGCCAACTACAAGATTTATCGTATTATTTAAGATTTATCTTATTATTTAAATTCAAGACTGAGTAAGAAAGTAAAATGAATAGATCGATTAGTCATAGATTCTTAACGTTACAAAAGAGTTTATTGAAAAAGTTCAGAAGTAAAAGTCATATCTGACAAATATATATGTTCTGTTAAAGTTACTATGGCAGTACTTATTATGGGTTATGAAGTGTCACAGGTGCCAAGACGTCAAGGCAGACAACCGTGTAATACTGCGCTAATATCATTGCCTGAATAAATGAGATTGTTTTTGTCCCTACATGACATGGTCGGGGCGAAAGTATATTTTGAAATGACAATGTTAATTTAGTGAGACCACATGTACAAGGAAATGTTTGCAATTTGAAACCACACGTACAAGTAAATGTTTACACAGATAGAGACTCGGTTGAACCTTTAGAGGAACTGCGAGCAATGTAATGATCACCTTAACTTTATTGCGCGATATTTTAAAACCTTTTTATAGTTTTCTTTTGATTTTGGAAACGAAATCAAGACCCAGTTAGAAATTAAAATGTATTGATTAATTAGAATTTTACGTTGCACAAGGGTCTTTTAAATTAGGAGTAAAAAACACATGTTAAATGAAAAATAGGTATGTGGCTGGTCATAGAGTCAAACAGAGCTAACAGAATTTAAACCTGGGCAAGAGGTTTATAGATCTCAGTTTTAACGACCTCTGGGCCCTCAAGTTAAGAATCCAATCTGCCCGAATCAGATTTCCTTCAGACGCTTCATCGCAGTAAAAGTTATTATGGTAGTACTTATTGAGGGTTCTGAAGCGTTACTGGTGCCGTGATGTCAAAGCGGACAACCGTGTAATATGGCGGTAATGCAATATTTAAATTTTCTCAGGTTGATCGGTTCAAAATGATGGCACCATGCATTTTTGGATCGCTTAAAATAGCGCAATTAGTTGAGACAATCTAATGTTACTCTATCACTCGTATGAAGTCACACGGTCTGAACCAAAAGAGATTGCATTTTGTAAGTAGATCGGAAATTACACTTTTATTAAGCTTAGATCCTCTCAAGTTTCGTTTCGAAAACATTATCCTGGCTGTTTTCCTTCTTAGGTTTAAATTCTCTTTGCCCTGTTCGTGGATCAAAGGACAGCCTGCATACAGGTACGTTTTAGAAGGTGGTTATCAATGTAGAAAACAGAACATAAAGGAAGCTTATCGAGAGTCATTTTATTGTGCAGGTAGTTTGAGTCTTTTATCCTCAACTGGATTGTTTTCATTATTTTCGTCCCCGGCATCTTAGCTTTGTGTATAAATGAGGTAATGCCCTTGGCTTGTTCGGTTAAAACTTATATACTTGTGTGTCATAGACATTTCGAAAAAACGCATTCTTTTGATCAGTCGATGAGTTTAACTCGATCAGGACAGTTAAATCAGTGTTTTTCTTTTAAATAAAATGGGCTATCTCGCCCGGTATTTAAAATTCGATATCAGTGAATGAAATAATTTGTCCCGATAGTAGTACGCAGATATCAAGGTAGAAACTCGTGGATCANTCTTTTATCCTTAACTGGATTGTTTTCATTATTTTCGTCTCCGGCATCTTAGCTTTGTGTATAAATGAGGTAATGCCCTTGGCTTGTTCGGTTATAACTTATATACTTGTGTGTCATAGATATTTCGAAAAAACGCATTCTTTTGATCAGTCGATGAGTTTAACTCGATCAGGAAAGTTAAATAAGTGTTTTTCTTTTAAAAAAAATGGGCTATCTCGCCCGGTATTTAAAATTCGATATCAGTGAATGAAATAATTTGTCCCGATAGTAGTACGCAGATATCAAGGTAGAAACTCGTGGATCATGTAAAGATTAGGATATCAAGGCAGATATTTTGTATCACCGTAATAATCAGAGTGATATCAATGTAGAAAATGGTCTTTGATACCAAGGCAGACTATCCCTTACAAAAAAAAAAATGGTTAGACAATGTCATTACCATGTATAGCAAAGGGCTGATTCACGTCTGTACAGATACCTAGGGTTTAACCACAGTTTCCATATCATCTGATGATGCCGTGGATCGGCGAAGGCTCGAAAGATTAATTCTATAACAGTAGTATAAGGCTTTACTTGAAACTATCAAAGATAAACGAGAATATGTATGCTAAATATCTTACTTCTAAAGAATGTTTTACTTAAAGAACACATTTATACCGTGACAATGGCTTCGAGTGGAAACCTGCCGTAAATAACGTCCAGCGTCTTTAAAAGAAAAAGCTTCAAAAGGGTTTTTTT